AGGCACAGTCTTTGTGTAGTCACGTATACGCGATTTTTCGGTGTTTACGTGATTCATCTGATTTCAATACAACTAAGCCACTCATTCCTACCATTTTAGTGTAAGTTATGAAGAAATAATAAAATACTAAAATTGGACATTGTTACAAGAAGGATGGGGAATTACTAATAAACTATATACATGCGGATGTTTTACCGAGAAAATAAATATTATATTTACCATAAGATGAAAAATAAAAAATTTAATTCGTTACATCATACATAATTGTAAAGAAAAGTATACGAAGGCATATAAAGATTTTAAAAATACGTTAATATATGTAAAAGTATATGTGAAACATGTAAAAAATATGTGAAACATGTAAAAAATATGTGAAAACATATAAAAATACATGTCAATATGTGTAATATTGCACAGAATTAACGCTGTTTTACGTGTTGAATGTACTGTCCCATGTATATTTACATGCAATTTCGTGTTATCTCATACTTAAAATTCCATGCACCTGTGTTGTGATTTATTATTGGGATTAAAGTGACTAGAAATGCTTTGTATAAGGCTGCTTTATTCGCTATATTAAGTAAACCTCATTAACAGTTTAATTTTAGATAGGTATAAATGTTTAATACGTAATAGAAATTCAGGTTCATTGCTTATTAAATTTTGTGGTATATTTTGTTGTAAATTAAAGTTTTAGTTCAAAAATTATAAATAGTACAGTAAACCCAGGATCATTAATAGATGCAATCAATTCTTTCTAAATGCAACTTTAAATTCTGATCCAAGTAGAGATGGGCAAATCGCGGTTTTTCCAAAAATCACGTAGGTGCCACGGTTGAAGGTACCCTAGCCATGGCGAAAAAAATTCAGATCACGTGCCGTAGATAACTTTTTTGGCAAATTCCTATTGGATGATTTTGTCGATCTTATTTGACCAATCAAAAAAAAATAGATGATCATCAAATTTCTTTTTTTTTTTTTATCTTTATTAAAATATATGCTTTATCATTAGATTATACATAACGTTTATCGGTTATATATTTAAATTTATCCCATGTCTCCTAATGGTCGCCTGTGATACTCCGCACTGATATTTTCACACAGATGATTATCTGTGAAAATATCAAAAATTATTCCACGGCCCCGCATTTCTTGGACTGGGTCAGTATGTTACTAAGGTTTTTTACTCTTATTATTGTTTTTGACCAATTCAATATTTTAATTATTAACGTAATATTGAACACTATTTTTTAAATATTTAGAACAGCTTAAATTGTAGCGATTATGCAAGTACTTATTTAATTAATTGCTAGTAAATAATCATTGGTCTTTCCTTTTACAAATTTTTATAGTTAGTATTTAAGCTATTCTAAAAGACAAATATGTTCTTATAAAAAAGCTATTGTGATAAATGAAATGTAACATTTGTAAAGTTACAGTTATTAAAAATAGAATGTTGATTTTGAAATTTACTATAAATTTGACCTTGAACCATATTAATATCTTGTGCATTTGTAACAGTATTCGTATTGAAATTAATATGAGACCCAGTAATTTCAGTAAGTGCTGTAGAAGGTTCTTGATTCGGTTCCATAGAATTAATCAAAGTTTGATCATATTGATTTTTTGACTTTCATTGCTGTTTTTATAAGCATGTACTCCTTGTAAACTTTTATGCTCAGTAATATTCATAATCGCATCTTCTGAAACATTGGCATCCTGGAGTATCTGAGCTGCAGTTTTTTGTCCAGAATGGTTTGTCAAAATGCCATCTGGAAGTTTTACTTTCACTTTTTGCTCTATGTCCTTCATAAAATTTCCTACTTTATTTAAACCACAATGTGTTTTAAGATACTAGATGCTAGTATTATACCAATTTAAATTTGGCTGTAAATAAAAATTACTGGATGCATCTAATGGACATTTGGTAATATATTTGGTAAGATCATTAGCAGGTTCAGAAATACCAGGTGGATCAGTTGGTAATTGGATACAGTGTGCATTTCCTCCTTCAATTTCTCGTTGATTATTCTTACTATGATATCGATAAAATAAAATATTCCCATCAGGTTGAATTTGAAACTGGTTAATTTAAAGCAAATAATGCTCACCATCTTGACATGCAAAAATTGTTGCATTACGAAAGAAAACTCTATATAATAAACCTTGTGGTGTTGTAGAGTTTAAAAATTCATCATTAAGAATCTCTTTAACTTGTTGGGCTGTTAAAGCCATTGATCCTTCCTTTTCTCCTAATTCTTTTTCTTGTAAATCTTTCATTTTACCATTTAAAATATCATGTAAATCTGGAAACTGATACTTGTTATGTAAATTAAAACTACAAATTGCACTATTTTTGCTAATAAATCTATTTATTCCATCAATAGCTTGTTTAATTGTCTTAGCTTTGTATTCACTTTTGTCTTTTTTGGATATTTGTGCAACATATTCATATATTTGCTGCTTTATTAAATGAGGATCTTCAATAGCTTCAATTGGTGTTACATAATTATAAGAACGACGAAATTCATTAACTTCTTCATCCAGTTTTGTGTAGCCTTTACCGTATTTGGTACTGCAGCCTTTTTCTATAAAAGTCTAATTTTTGTGCTATTTCAGATCTTGGCACACTTGTTGCTGCACTTTCTTCAGAAATATTTTCTGGAACATAATTTAGTGCAGTAGTAAAAATTGGAACTGGTGTGTTTTGAACGTTCTTCTTTTTTTTCAGGTTTGGCATTTTTTTTTGTACAAAGAATAATAAAGTGAAAATATCAATAAAAGAATTACAAAGCGTTAGGATCCAGGGGATAAAACAGATATTTAATGGGTTGTTGTGAATATCATGCAAAATCACAGGCAATCATTTATTATGCGTCATCATGGCGCAGCCACGATGATGCATAATAAATAATTGCCTGTGATTTTGCATGATATTTACAGCAACCTATTAAATATCTATTACATATATATATATGTTAATACTAATTTTTTTTTTATTTTCACTATGAATCTATACTAAAATATATATAGGTTGATAGTACTTTTATTAACGTAACTAAAATGCAAGCTTCTCATTCGATGTCCAAGTACCCTGTTGGTGGCAAATTCGTAACGCTTCTTCGCATTTGCCTATTTTATTCAAAAACAGCTTTACCAAGGTATCGAAACTATTTATAAAATTGTAATTATTTATCTCTCGGTTATATAAGGATAATGCAGTATCAAATTTTTTTGTAATAATTATATTTTTCTCTTCTTTTCTTTATTAGATCAAAATTCATATCTTTAACCACATTTCGCAAGTTGTTTAAATGAAAACTACTTCTCACAGGAGGATTGTCTATTGACTCAGCTATACCAAGTCGAACCCAAGAATTATTTACTAGAACAATAGATGGAATTTGGCTTTTACCAAAAACGATTAATGAATAATCGTGTCATCTTGTTGTCTCTAAAAATATGGGTTAGAATTGTCTTCCATTTTTTTATTAACAAGTTGCTTGCAAAGGTGATAACAACTGCATAAGTAAGCTGAGCAGAAACATACCCACTTGCTTATATCGATTTCATATCTTTCTTCAGCATCTGGCAAAATATCTGCTGCTACCACTCTATCCCATTCTTTTTTAAATTCACGTCACTATGATAGAAAAATTCAATTTCTGTTATATTGGGCTAGTTTAATTTCGAAATCAGAAATCAATTGCTCTGTTATAATTTGGGTAAGCCGATCTATACATAGGCGATTGTAATTATATTTGTAATTATATTTAAGGACTCTCCAGTGGCTCTCTGTGATTATTGTAGTACATGTGAAAGGCATAACAAGTGGGTATGAAGATCGAGCAAATAATTTCCAATCCTTTTCATTATACCAGTTTATCCAATCTAGCTAGGTTATTTAAACGACAAAACCGGTATGCTTCTTGAACACATAACTTATAGACTTCTCTTGATTCCAGATAAGTTTCTTTGTCTAATGCAGATGCATATTCGCATGTTTTTTAACCATTTCCAGAAGTTCTTTAACATAATTTTCTAGACAAATAGATCTGATTCCACCTTGAATCCATAAAGAATCGATAAAGTTAAATTTGCGATGAGCTTCTAATGCTTTGGTTGCTGAATATGTACTTGACTTATATTTTTTATCTTTGATTTTCTTATCAATAGCATGCTCAAGATGCCAATAACAAAGTTGAATGTTGGATATTAATGACCACACCTCTTGAACTGAAGCTATTTCACCTGCATCCTTATCTATTAAAATAAATACTGGTCTCAACCCTTCTTGTCGAAGACTAGTAAAAAATATTATTGTTAACACTTCAACTTGCGTTTTTATAGAATTATTTTGACTATTTCGAACTTCTTCACTACTGTCTAAAGTGGAAAGATATAGATATGCAATTGGCATACCATATTCACCACAGTTTACATTCACTACAAAGAGTTCAAACCGTTCTTGGTTTGTTTTAAAAGTAGAATCTATAATAATTTCAGTTGCATTTTCAATACCAACACATTGGAGCAATAGAATTAAAAACCCTAAGGCCCGAACAAAATCATTCTCTAGGTAATTAAGAACTTTAAAACCTTTGTCTTTGAATTTAGATTGTTCAAGATACTGCATACTAACATAAGCTGATTATTTTGATTCATCACGTAGATTTTTTTACTATACTCTGATACCCAGTAATAAACTTGCTCAGCAGTATGAATTTCTGATCATCTTTACAGAGCCACTAATAAACTTCTGTACTTCTTAGATTATATAGTAAAATATTATTTTTAATCTATTTTTTTGTCTTTGTAGGAAATTCGACTTGGCAATAGTTTGGCTTTTCATGTGCTACTTGATGACTTCCTTGAATAATAGCATGCTGTCACTCTATATTTATAGTAATTTTAATGTTTTCTACACATTGATATCTTTCTATAGGAACTCGTCCCTCACTTCGCCTTTTGAGTGGCTAGTTATCTGGCCTTTTCCAGGCTTAATCATCCTGCATTGTACAACCAAGGTATGCCGTAGCTAAACCAGAGAATTTTTTATTTTTACTATTTAAATATATTTTTCTAATTTCCCAATAATATCCAAATCCAGATTCAAGTGGTATAGTAAGTAGAGATGCGAGTTGTCTGAACCTCATTTCAATTAATTTTAAATCAGTTGTGCTGGCTAAATTTTGTTGATCTAAAGAGAATTCATCAAGAAGGTCTTGATATAATTCAACTTTAAGAATGAATTTTATAGGTTCACTGAATATTTCTGCTTCTTCAAACTTCTTAGCAATGATTTCGTGTACTTCATCCAAGTCATATATTAGCACTTCTAAATTATTATTATTCTGGTCATCATGCTCACCTTCATTGTTGATGATGCTGCCGGAATCGCTAGAGATAATTGTATTAAGGTTATTGGAGGTAATACTGTCAAAATTTTCTGCAGTAATATTAGAAAAATCAGAGGCAATAGTAATGGGATCGGTAGGCATGTCGCTATAATGATTATCAAAGATGATGTTGCTGGAGCCACTAGAAACTACAGTATTAAAATCTGATGAGGTGGTTATACCAGGTTCATCAGAGGTAAAGGTATTGCTTTGGACTGTTTTTCGTTTGGCTTTTTTTAATATAACTGATTGTTCTTTCCGTTTATTCTTCAACTTTTCAGAACATTAGTTACACATAGTATTATCATTACCAGAATGATAAAAGTGTTCAATTGTTTTGTTGATATAGCAATGACCACACATTCTTTTAGTGATTCCTTGAGTAATTTCTTGTGTAGTTTCTTGAACAATTTCTTGAGTAATTTCTTGAGTAATTTCGTAAGTAATTTCTTGAGCAACTTCTTGAGCAACTTCTTGAGCAATTTCTTGAGTTTCTATTAACAAAATATTGTAATTGATTAGGTTTATTCACATGAATTTAGAATATGCATTTCGTTATATTAAAGCTGATTTGAAGCAAATTAAGTCTATATATTCTTAAGTATAATTTAATATAATTTACCTTGAGGCATAATATGTTTGCTCATTTTTTGATTTTTTTTTGATTTTTAAATATAGAAAATGAAAAGAAGTATAATGCTGATAGAAATATTGATGAATATAGATTGTTAATTCAGACGAAGATTGATTAATTTATGAGTTCAAAAAATAATTGTGCTTAAAGGCTTAGATATGATAACTTTGGTAAAAATAGAATAGACAAATGAATTCAATTATTAAGTGAGAATTATTTAGCTTTTATTAGACGATTCGGTTTTTTGAATTTTATTTAAGGTCAAAAAATGTACTTTATATACATTTTTTAATTACCTTAATTTTACATTTTTGTTGTGATACATTGTTTTTCTAACATATAGTTACATAAAGCATCATACTATTTTTCATTATAATTATCTATATAAGTTGTGTAATTGTACTTCTAATATCTAATTATATATTTTGATTATTCTTCTGCTTTGATGCTTCAATATTCGATTTTTCGAGATTGAATGGCCGAATAGATTTGTATATAATTCGACTGAAATATAGTCTAACTAAATATGGACCAGTTTAGAGAATGTCTAAAATTAGAATATACATGCAATTATGTTATTCTCGAGTATGACTATGCATATGGCCAGGTTATTAATTGCCATTGTATTATATATATAATTGTCATGCATATAATTTTTACTTATCCCAGAGGAACGAGAATGCATGTTAATTTTAAATTTACAAATTTAGCACTGTTGAAAAGAAATCACATTCAGGAATTTTGTACATCTTAATTGCTTGATGTAAATTAGATTCTTCAAAGTTTTAGACCAAAATAGTTTTTACATATTGTCTGTAATAATATTATTACTGTGATCTTGTCGTTTTCTCAAATTTTAAGCAGTCCAGACCTCTGAATTTGTTCATAATACATTTAATTTATGTAACAACCAAAAAAGTTAGTGAAATTCATCCTATTGACTGCGTCAATACCATCTAACTACTGACGAAAAACCTAGCATACACTTTCTGAATTCAAAAAAAAAGATTTTAACTTCGAAATGTAGTATCCCTATTCATAGCAATGAAGTGTTACCAAAATGAGATTCTACTTAAACAGTATAAGTAAAAAAAAATTTATCAATTTTAGGCAGATGATTGTGGGATTACAGAAGATTAGTATGGTACGACTGACCGGGTCAGTATGGTATAGATGTGATTTTACCAAATCATACCATACTGTTTTGCTTAATTGTCACATCTACTAAAAAACCTGGGCGACATTAAACATAATTCCGGACAGATCTAACCCTAAATTCTAGTGTGTGTGACAATTAAGCAAAACAGTATGGTACGATTTGGTAAAATCACATCCATACCATACTGACCTAGTCAGTTGTACCATACTGATCTTCATAACCCCGATGATTGTTGTGATATTTTCGCTCAAATTTTTGAAAAAACGTGAAAGCTGCGGCAAAATTGTTTCAACTTTGAGGATACTATTAAATATCGATAAACTTATTTTTTTTTATTTATTCTATATGCCTGTATGACTAAAATAAATACTTTTGTGAATTTTGTATAGATAACAGTCATATATATTCTTAAAAACTTAATCAAACCCGCTAAAGTTTTTTGTTTTTTAAACTTTTTTGTGAAGGTTCTCGTCAACCCCCTTTCCAAAATTACTAAAAGCTTTTTTATTTCGATTCTGTATGACTGTATAATTAAAAAAAAAAAAAATCAAATTTCATATATATAGTTGCTGAAATATCTTACTTAAAGCTTTAAACCCATCAAAATATAGACCGCAGCAGTGTTTTTTGTTAAAGTTTGAGCGAAGATATCTTGACAACCACTTATCTTAAATTGATAAAAGTTTTTTTATTTGATTCTATATAACTTTGTAGTTAAAGTAAAAGAATTTTTATAAAATTGAAATAGTATTAGTAAAGATATTATCGCTTTGATTATTAGAAAAAATGAAATTTATTAAAAATGTTTAATTTTGTAAATTACGATCGTCAAGATAGTGCCCAATAGGAATTTGCCAAAAAAGTGATCTACGGCACGTGATCTGAATTTTTTTCGCCATGGCTAGGGTACCTCGCGGTTGATCCTCGATTTTGATTGGCCAACGGCTGTGATCGACAAAATTCTGGCCCGCATTATACATAATTTTGGC